CAAATAGTAGTAAATACTTTTAAACTAAATAAATAACTGCTGCCAAGTTCACTTACAGAAGCAGTATGCCATCTTTTCCAGAGCTGTGTTAACTAGGATAGCCATTCCCATAAGCCATTCTGCTGCCCCCTGCTCTTTTGTTGCTGTTAATCCAGGTAGAATAATTCCTAGCAAACTTTGTTTTTATATCTGAATTCAAATGAGATCACTTCTTTCTGTTCTTTCAGATTGACCTATTGATGATTAAAATGATACTCAACGATACAGATGTGGATTACACTCCTGCACCCTACCCCCACTTCTGAATTTTCGGATTTTCTTCTAAAAATTTCCCTCAGTTCTAATCAGTAGATTTTCCCAGAGACAGTTTTGGGACAAGTTTCACCATTTTTCCCCATGGAAAGGCCATTACCTGGTAGACTTAACCCCATTTAAATTTTGAATTAAAAGTAGGTTTATAGCATGTGAAATTGTAACAATATACCTTAACCTTATCTGTAAATAAGAGGTTCAATTTTATATAATAACTAAGCATGCACTTTTTTTTAAAGGCCTGGAGCTTACTATGTAGACCAGTCTGGCCTTGAACTCAGAGTGATCTGCCTACCTAGGTCTCCCAAATGCTTGGATCAAAGGCACGTATGTGCTACCACACCTAGCTAAGGTTTTGAATGGGGGACACTGGGCTTCTACAAGTGCCTGCTTGTTGCACTTGCACTGCAAACTGTTCTAAAAACTTAAAAGCACAGATCTGAATAAAGTCTATTTGGTCACTGGATTAGGTCATATACATCCCCCCTAACGTAAGTCTCAACACAATTTTATACATGTATTAGACCTACAGGCTAGCACAAAACAGTTACTTCAAAAGCCACAAAGAAGTGGGAGCCCAAAGAATTCCTTTCTGCTATTCGATAAACAAGAGGGAAGATGTACTGTTTGCTGGCTCAAAATAGACACTAATTTTGCATCTGTCTCTGAGGCACAGCAAAAAGCCAACTAAAGAGCAGTAATAAATGTCCAAAAACAGCATCATTATCCAAAACTCTCACAGCAATCTTCAGAGGAATTAATTACAATTCTGTGTAACAGTCGCATTGGCAAAATACACCCATAATTATATACAGGTACTGTACTGTATTATAGGGAAATATGCCATGTGATACCATGTTTACCCAATAATTGATGGATAAGATAAAACTATTTGCATATGAAGTGCATATGAATTATTGGCATGGCTTACCGTTTTATGTGGAATCATATTAAAGTTTCATTTGCTCTAGAACTCTATGTGTGATGTGGGGTTACCAAAGGGTATAAAGACGATGCTTAAATTTGCTTTATAGCAAGCAGGCCTGGGAAGATATATCTGAATCTGCATTGCTAAAAACTTGTATTTAAAAGATTGCATAGTTGATCTGTAATAAGCATTATTTTCACCTTGCCAGATTCCATTATATTAAACCCTCTCTCTTCTTCCTCTCAAGTAAACAATACTCTAAATTCTATCAGTGTGACAATTAATTTTAGTCATAAGCAAAATAAGTAATGGCGTCTCTTTATTGTCCACAGCTATAACTTTTATTTTCAGAGAGTTTTGTATTCTGGTGACATGTAAGAGAACAGTAGCAAAATGTGACATTTTTATAATGTCCATACCTGCTGGAGAATCTCAACATTTGCAAAAATGGCCTATTATAGCATTTAAACATTGCCGATAATTAGCTTGACATTTGAAATAGCAGAACTATTGTTTTGAAGATGCCCTATACAATGTTACCTAACTAACCCCTTTTCCTACTTAGAGTCTTTCTCCCCATTATTCTGTCAGTTACAGTACAAATAAGATATCAGTAGTTAGTGTATTAACATTCGAAAGAACTGATGTGAGGGGGCAATACTTCATCTACACTAGGAGAAGAAGTTTTATTGATGTAAAGGAAAATTACATATGCATATTATAGATAACTAATTGTTATTGGCCAACAATGATTTCCTATAAGTCTGCTCAAGTTAAGTGTACCAATAGGACCTTCAATGCCATCATCAACATTTATTAAATATCTACAATTCAGTAAACCTAGAAAAAGACAAGAAGGTGCTATGATCACTTTAGAAAGCTTATGGTTAATTTACTTAGAGAAACAGAAACATGAAATTATGCTTGAGGAACACTTGAAGTCAGCTTGTGAGTTGTGACAAAGGAGGTAATACAGGCAGAATAAGGTCAAGTGACCTGTCAAAGACCACATGACTATTTGGTGGCAATGCTCCAGCAAGAAAGCATGTCTTCAGGAAAATCACAGCTACATAAAAAGATGCTCAATAATACCACTTCCCAGCAAAGAATGCAATCTGAATTTAAACCACACCAGAGTAAAAGAATGGAAATCCCTGGGATTTTTGGGGGGATTTTTGTGCAGTAAGATGGAGATGCTTAATTTTAAATTGTTTTGATGATTGTTACTTTCATGGATCCCCTTAATTTGAGTTATAGAAGCCTACCAATTTGATCAATTACCAGAATCTAACAATACACCCTTGTTTCCTGCAGTAGTTTGGAAACAATAGAAATAAAGAGGCAGTTCACAGAATTACGAGCTTGCAACTTGCCTTCTTGTCCCAGCACCAACATGTAACCAGCTGGGTGGCCTTGG